TCTTTTCCTGTAGGTTTTAGTGATCACAATATAGTCATGATAGAAAGGAAAACTAAACTGCTGAAAACTGGGTCCAAAATTGTTATGCAAAGATCATATAAATCCTTCTGTGGAGAAAAATGTATCAATGATATAAAGTACCAACAGTGGGATAAAATTTATGGTGAAACAGATACAGATGCTGCGTTGCAATTGCTATTAGAAATGTTGTGGACTATATCTAATAAACATGCACCAATGAAAAAATTCACAGTCAGAAGAAGACCAGCCCCATGGCTTGATAAAGAATTAAAATCTGACATGGCTAGTAGGGATGAAATGAAAAGAAGTGCAGTAAGAACAGGTGACTCTTTTTATTGGACCAAATATCGTTCACTCAGAAACAAGGTCACAAAAATGAATAGACCAAAAAAAAAAGACAGTATTATCAAAAGAAGATTAATGATTTAAAGCATGATGGGAAGAAACTATGGAATACCTTTAATAATATACTTGGTAGATCCAGAGCAACCACTCCTTCCTTTATTGAATCAGAGGGAATATTTATCACAAAACCTCATAAAATTGCTGATCATCTTAATGACTATTTTGTCAATAAAGTTGAAAATTTAAGACAGAAAATGAACACTTCAAATTGCACAATATCAGAAGACTTAATCAATAAATGTATCATGATCAACAAAACCTGCAAATTTAGCTTCAAACCAGTTGGGGATGTGAGAAAAATGTTGGCCTCAGTAAAAGATGACATAGAGTTTGGGATGGATAATCTTGATGATAAATTAATTAAATTAATAGCTGCCTATATCACTGAACCTGTATGTCATATTTTTAACCTGAGCCTTAAACAGAATATATTTCCTCATGCTTGGAAAGTTGCTAAAATTATTCCCATACCAAAGAATAATAGAAGTCCCTTCAGCAAGGAGAATAGTAGACCACTTAGTATTCTTCCCGTTTTAAGTAAACTTTTAGAAAAACTGTGTTTGATCAAATCATGAATTATTTTTCCATTAATGACCTTGGTTCTGAGTTTCAACATGCCTATAAAGTGAATCACTCCACCTGCACAGCTCTAACACAAATGACGGACAACTGGTTGTGTCAAATAGATAACAAAAATCTTGTTGGTGCTGTTTTACTTGACTTCAGTGCAGCATTTGATGTGATCGATCATGATCTATTATTGAAAAAACTTTCCTTTTATGGTTTTAGTGTAAATGCTGTCGACTGGCTAAGGAGCTACTTAAATGACAGATCACAATGTGTCTATTTTAATGGCAGTCTCTCTGTTAAAAAAAGGTCAGAATGGGGTGTTCCTCAAGGAAGTTGCCTTGGGCCACTCCTTTTCTCCATTTTTACTAATGATTTGCCTTTGGTGTTAAAAGAATCAACCATGACAATCTTTGCTGACGATTGCACATTATATAGATCCTCCAATAGCCTGACTGTGCTTAATGAAAGCTTACAGAGAGAGCTTGATTGCTTATCAAATTGGGTAGAAAATAACAAATTAGTACTAAATATTATAAAAACTAAACGTATCATCTTTGGATCTAACTATGCATTGAAAAAAGAGCCGTCTCTTTCTCTCGCAATGAAAGGTTTATACCTTTTATTGCGGTTTATACCTTTCATTGCGAGAGAAAGAGACGGCTCTTGTCTGGCTTAAAGTGGAGGATAGATTGATGTGCAATCTTCTCGTGTTTTTTAGGAATATTTTGTTTCAAGCTACACCTAAGGAATTTCATGCTAAGATTTTGTATATCAATGACAGACACACTTATACCACAAGACAAGCAACACAACATTACGTAGTAGTTCCAATACCCAAAACCAGTGCAATCCAGAAAACTGTTTTTTTACAGAGCCTCCACTCAGTGGAACTCCCTACCCGATTCACTAAAAAAAAAATCCCTAACAAAGTAAGGTTCAAAAATTGTCTTAAAAAATGGGTTGCTTCGAGTGAATATTGTATCACTGGCTATTAATGGTTTTAATGCTTATGTGTAGGCGTGTGTAGGCGTGTGTGTGTGTGTGTGTGTGTGTATGTGTATCTATATAAATTATATGTATATAAATGTGTATATGTATGGGGGTGGGGTGGGGATGGTGATGTGATCTTGTGTAGTTTTTTGTTGTTGTATTGCATTGCATGTTTTTAATTTTGTAGTTTGGACATTTTTGTACATGGACCCCAGGAAGAGTAGTTGCTGCCTTGGCATCAACTAATGGGGATCCAAATAAACAAATAAACAAATATATATAGATATGTTATACTGATGGACACTATAGCTTCATTTCTACCGAGCAGTCCCGTTCACATTCACACGGTCACATTAGAATGTGTACCAAACTAAAAAGTGGAGCTGGGAACACTGCAGTCCGTTAACTGGTCAATAAAGAACCATCACTCTTGCTCAGGGGTGAGTTGTGGCTGCATTTGAGGCTTATGTAACCACTGTTCACACATGAGTAAACTCTAACTATAAAATGAAAAGATATTTTGATGCTTTATCATCTTTACTAGTTAACAGCAGTTATAGACTGAGAAAAAATAATTCCATTCACTGTGCCAACTGCCAGCAGCTACCGGCAACTTTTTCGTGCATGTTACTCAATGCATGAGTTGACAACATGATTCCATAATTTCAACATGACAACTGCAGACCACTCCATTTCATGATGATTGGATCTTTAATTTTGAGCTTCAAATATTCTGTTTCCTCTGCTGGCAGCACTACACCCCTGCTCCTGCCTGACAAGGACTCAATGCACAAACCTGCTATTTTTAAATATCCCATCAAGAGAGACTCTCACTCGGGCGTTGGTGGCTTAGTGGATAGAGCAGGCGCCCCATGTATGAGGCTGTTGCCGCAGTGGCCCGAGTTCGAGTCAAGCCTGTGGCCCTTTGCTGCATGTCATCCCTTCTCTCTCTTTCTCCCCCTTTCCCTTCCAGTCTTGTCCATTAAAGGCAAAATGCCCCAAAAAAAATATCTTTAAAAAAAAAAAAAGAGAGAGAGACTCTCACTCCAGCCTGTTCTTTTTGTTCTGAAAATGTCAGTGTGCAGCAAGGTGCAGACTTCTCTCTGCATCACTGCTGAAGAGGAAATAAAGCAAGAGCTGGATGGAGCAGTGAGTGACAAGAAGGCCCAGACACACTAAACCAACATCAGAATACTAGTGACAATGAAAGCTGACTATTGCATCGCTTCATGTTACCTGCGTCTTTGCCAAAAAGTTGCACATGAACATGCCAACCAGCATGAAAGTTCTGCGCCTGCATGAGCAGAAATAACTCCCCACACCGCCAGATGGCAGTCTTCTATAATCCTCATTCAAAAAGGCAAAGTGGAAGACTGTCTTGATGCTAGTTATACTATCCTGAGAGTGATTTCATTTCCCGACGGTGGATGAAATTGCCGATTGGCTGATTCAGGATGCTGAATCAAAAAAACAAAAAAGACAACAACAAGGGGGACTGACAAGGGGCAAGAGTGTGGGACACACTACACTGACAAAGGTAACAGACGCTCACGGACAACCCAACACTGACCCAACGTCTGACCGTCGGCTTGGTGTGTCAGAGCCTTAAGAGTACTGTCTGCAGTGGAAATGCTAAATGGATCCAGGGTCTGGGACATGTTCTTAGGAGTTAATTTTGGTTCTAATCATACTATACCGAAAGTTTCTA